CACATTCTTCCCTTTATGGAAGTAAAACAACAAAATATAGTGACAATGTACAGTTTGGTCTTTCATCTTCAACTTATTGTAAAATCTCCAAAATGCCAACAAATTGCTTGAATTTTTTTAGAATGAAGCTAGAACTGACAGCTGTCAAATTACATAGCAATAACATAGATGCAAATGACTCTAGTACTTCCAAAAATGAACTAGCTCCATCTGCTACAACAATGCATCATGACTTTTCTGACAAATCAATAAAATGTATTATGGTATATCTTTTTATTTGGAGAGAGATTTTTTATAAAGGGCATGTGTGCTTGCCAGAGAAACAGAGCAAGACAGAGAGACAGAAAGCGATGGGGCAGTGAGTTTTTTTTTTTTTTTTTGAGAGTTTTTTGCTGTAGGGTGAGTTTGCTTCCCAGACAGAGAGACAGAAAGCAAGAAATCACCCCCTAGGGGGGATGGTCATGCAGCAATCCCTTCTCCTCCATTCTCCTCTCAGGATCTTGGGCACACATGCACACGTGTCCGGTGGGAGTTTGAACCACCGGGTCTGGGACTCAAACCGTAGTTGACTACATGGGAATTCAGTGATATAGCCATTACGCCTGGGGCAGTGAGTTTTAAGCCACTGGATCTGGGACTCAAACAGTGGCCAACTAAGTGGGAATCAACGATATAACCATTATGCCATCTGCTGGTCTCAGTATATCTAAAACATGTTGTTCACAAAAAAAGCATTGTGGAGTACAACATGAATAATTGCTTTTTGTGTAAAAGAGCCCAAATAAGAATTTATTGATATTTTCAAATTTGTTTATATATACATAAAGATACTCTGAAAGGATTGATAGAAAAGTAACAGTAGTAGTTACCAATGAAAACTGGGTTAATAACGGAAAAGATTTGAGAGAAATTTTGTTTTGTATACCTTTTATATAATTTCTGGTATTTAAATGATGTGACAACATTAAGAATTTAAAATTCAATCACAAAAAGTTGAGGGTGGCCAGTGGTGTGGTGGTTAAGGGCACTGGACTCCCACATGGCCAACTGTGGTTCGAGTCCTGGACTTGGTGGTTTGGTTTCTTGCTTTCTCTCTCTCTCTCTCACTTTGTTCCTCGCTGATCAAATGAAGATAAATAAAAATGAATAAAGTTAAATAAAATAATTCTTGGAACCAGCAGTTAGCGTAATGGTTATGTTGCTGGACTCCCATGTAGTCGACGACAGTTCGAGTCCGGGACCCAGTGGCTTAAACTCACGACGGGTGCGTGTGTGTGTGTGCGTGCCCAAGATCCCAAGAGGAGAATGGAGGAGAAGGGATTGTGGCGTGGTCATCCCCCCTGGGGGGTGATTTCTCGCTTTCTGTCTCTCTGTCTCTCTCTGTCTGTCTGGCAAGCGCACGTACCCTATAGCAAAAGCCTCTCCAAAAAAATAAAAAAATAAAATAATTCTTTAAAAAATCCAATTACAAAAAGTTTAAAGAGTGAAATGGAGTACCTGGAGATTCAGAGACCGCATATTTATTTATTTATTTTTTATTATCTCCTTTCCCTTAGTCCCTGGGGCTAAAATCCTTCCCCTTTTTCTTTATCTCTGAGCTGGGCAAGAATTTCAACCCATAAGAAACATTTCTTAGGTAATGTGTAAATTACAAGGAACATTGCTATGTACTGGGGCTCCCAAGGGACAAAAGAGAACAGGATGCAGTCTTTGCTCTTGAAGTGGTCTACATGGATTTTATCAGTCTTTTTAGTGAGTAGGACAAGGATAAAACATGTTCCCTAGTTCTTTCTTCTCCCTTTCTCCTCTTACGAAATGCTGCAAATATATTGGAATTCTTACTTAATTCTCCTCCTCACTTGGAGAGCAGTTAAGGCCTGGAAAACTCAGGAATTTTCCATCGAGCCCAGACTAGAGGGATCTCAGGCCAGGGCCAAGACTGAACTGAGCTCTTAGGGCCCCTGGCATCTAGTTAAGGTTCTCAGCCCTCTCAGATGCTGCTGGGTCTGTGGTTTCCGGCTTCCTGAGTTCTCACACTCAGCTCAGTGCTGCAGAAATTACACCTCAGTTCCTACTTTGGGGACTGATAGGCTCAGGTTTGGCGATATTAGATGGGGTCTATGAGAGCTAAGGAGCTTTTCTGTTTTAGTTTACCTTCTTTCTCTTGACAGACTTACCGTGAATGCCTTGGGGTTGTCTAAGGGCAGAGTACAAAGGTTTGCTGGGTGGAGTCTGAGAAAGATCAGTTTCTAATTGAATATCCTATCTCCCCTTAGGTCTTTAATTCTGCTTCTCTCTAGATAGGGACGTTTTTTCTTTTTTTAAATGATAGAGAGCTTGTGTATGTGTTTGAGGGAAAGCGAAACAGGGACAGAGAGGAGCACCCTTAACCGGGTCTTGTCATGTTGCAATCCTCTTTCCCCAGCCCTCCGGCTCCTTAGGATATTGGGTGCCTACACACATGCCTAATGTATTATTTTAGGCCCACCTGGTGATCCATGTGGCTTCCAACACTGTAGTACAACATGCTGCAGACTGCTCCACCTTATCTTAGAATATTTTTAATTGCTGAAATTTGAATCTAGTAAGAAAACAGAGGCCAGCTGGTGGCTTAGAGGTTATAGCACTGGATCTCACATTGCCAGCTGCATGGTTTGAGTCCCATACCTGGTGGCTTAAAAACCACACCAGATACATGTACGTGCATGCCCAAAATCCTGAGAGGAGATTGGAGGAGAAGGGACGTAGTATGACCTTCCCATGTGTGGAGTGATTTATCACTTTCCCTCCTTATCTCTCTCCGGTGAACCTTGTAGCAACATCACAAGGAAGAAAGAAAGAAAGAAAGAAAGAAAGAAAGAAAGAAAGAAAGAAAGAAAAGCAAGCAAGCAATCAGAAAATCAGTTGTATAGAATTTTGTGATTTATAATGCATTTCCCCATATGTTATTTAACTTAAACATGACAGTTCTGTGAGTAGGGTAGAGATTATCTTTTATCAATGTATAATAAAAGTGAATATCAAAGTACAGTGATGCTTAAGGAGGGTAAGGGCTTCTTTTCTATGCAGATATTGAAAACTTCTTGGGCTATATATACCTTGTGTATGTGGAGGATTTCCTTATGGAGCTGGAACCACAGTTCTGAAATAGTTGAATACTAAGCAGAAGAGATTCTTCTCTCTAGAGTTGAGGCTGCTATTCAGAAGTCACTCATTCACAACTATTTGTTAAGTGTTTACTTTATGTAAAGAAAGACTCTCCTTGAGTCTGGCAGGTGGCATAGTGGTTAAGGGTGCTGGACTCCCACATGGTCGACCATGGTTCAAGTCCTGGACGTGGTGGCTTGCTTCCTCTCTATCACTCCGTCCCTCTCTGGTCAAACTAAAAATAAATAAATAAAATGAAAAAGTTAAATAAAATAATTCTAAAATAAATTGAGAAAAGAGAAAGATTCTCCCTAAGAAAGAATTGGGAAGTTGAGACCAGTGATTAATACGATGCTAGAGGAGAACTTAAGACAGAAGATAGATGCCGTTAAGGAGGCAATGGCTAGACCAACAGGTCACATAATGGTTAAGGTGGTGGTCTCCCATGTAGTTGACTGCTTTCTGAGTCCCAGGCCCAGAGGCTTGAAACTCACACAGGGCGCGAGTGCGTGTATGCCCAAAATCACAAGAGGAGAATGGCAGAGAAGGGATTACAGTGTGGCCATCTATCCTGGGGGGTGATTTTTTGCTTTTTGTCTCTCTGTCTCTCTCTGACTCTCGGGTGAACTCACATGCCCTGTAACAAATATCTCTCTTTAAAAAAAAAAAAAAAAAAAGGAAACAATGGCAAGATCTGAGTTTTAGTCCAGTACTTTGTATGCTCGAGCTCTCTGGCTACCACCCCATTAATGTCCACTGGTTGGACCCTGGCATTTAGCAGAAACTGGAAAACCATATTTCCACATGTTTTTTTTCCCCAAGGTTCTTAATTCATATTCGTTCAGGTTATTTTTGCATGGTCAGTATCAATGTCTTTCACTCTCTCATTCCCTTCTCATTTAGGGGAATACCTGAGGGGCAGACCATTTCTCTCTCCTTTGCCTGGAAGCCTGACCTATTCACGTGACCTAAGATTAGCTAACGGTGGCTGTGGGCCAAGACTTTGCCTCTTGAGTGAGTGACTCAAAGACAAAGGGACATTAGGACTGAACCCCAGCAGGGGTGTGCTGTGTCTCTAGTGGCAGTGACAGCTGCTGCTTCTTGGTAGAGCTGCCCTTGTGCTGCTTGTTTTCCAAGCCTTCCCTCCTGTTGCTGCTCTGGGCCCCTAATACCCTTGTAATATATTTCTTTTCTGTTTGTATTTGTGAAGGGGTCAGAACTTGTACTTGCAACGGACAAAAATTAATTTTAACTTAAATCATGACTCCCCCTGCCCCCAGACTGTGAGTTCCTAAAAAGTGGGGCCTAAACCTTATTTTGTGCTGTGTCTTTGTTGCCCAACTCAACCCTGATTCCCAATATTCACGATGAATAAATGAAAAAACATGCAATATTTCTATGGGGTTATTATTGTGGTTGTAGGGCAAAAACATTCTCTGTGCGCTACAATAGTCATTAACATCTGAGCAATTTCATGTTAATAAACATGAACTGAGAGGATACTGAGAAGGTCCGTTCTTCCAATATTCGAGGACTTGACTGAGTGGTTCTGGTCTAATTGCTGAGTGTCGGGCTGGCTCTGTAGCCTATTGGTTAAGGGAGCCTGGTCCCACAGTTAAACTCCTTGTTCCATTGACCTGAAAAACATGCCAGGCATGTGTGTATGCCCAACATTCTGACAGGGCTGAGAAATGGAGAAGGGATTATGGTATGCCTATGCCCCATTAGAGGGTGCTTTCTTCTTCCCTTTTTCTCCCTCTCTGTGTCTCTCTTTGGTAAGTGTAGGTGTTCTAAAAAAAAAAAAGAAAAAGAAAAAAGAAAGAAAAAAATTGCTGAGCGTTTCTTTTTCTTTTTTAAACATGGAATGTTCCATGCATTTGTGTGATGTCCTTGTATAGGGACCATTCTAATCTTCTCTGTACCATTTCAATTGTAGTGTATTTGCTGCCCAAGAGAATGCAATCAATGCTTTTGTCTCTGGTTTCTTCTCCCTGCTATCTCTTCCTAAAGGCTACCCTCTGGCATGACTATCTTAGCTGAGAAAATGCCCTTTCACTCTCCAGCCCTGATTTGAAAATGACCTCAGCAATGGACTTAGGTCTTATAGAATAACCTAATTATTTTTGATACTGTTGTCTTTTATTCCTTCCACAGATATATATTAACCAGCTATTATTTGCAGAGTTCTGAGAATTCAGCAGTGAACAAAATAGTCCCTAACTCTAACACAGGAAACAGACCAATACAACCAAGAGAACAAACAAACGAAACAATTACAAACTGTAAAAATGAATACTGAGTTGCCGGGCGCGTGTGCGTGCGTGCCCAAGATCCCGAGTGGAGAATGGAGGAGAAGGGATTGCGGTGTGACAGTCCCCCCTGGGGGGTGATTTCTCGCTTTCTGTCTCTATGTCTCTCTATGTCTGTCTGGTGAGCGTATGCGCCCTATAGCAGAAAAACCTCTCTCAAAAAAAAAAAAAAAAAAGAATACTGAGGGATTAGCAGGTGGCATAATGGTTATGTTACTGGATTCCCATGTAGTCAACTGCAGTTTGAGTCCTGGACGTGGTGGCTTGAAACTCACTCGGGGTGTGTGTGCATGCATGACCAAAATCCTGAAAGAAGAATGGAGGAGGAGGGATTGTGGCATGGCCCTCCCCTGGGGGGTGATTTTTTGCTTTCTGTCTCTTTGTCTCTCTCTGTTGCTCTGTGCACATGTACCCTGTAGCAAAAATCTCTCTGAAAAACCAAACAAATAAAAAAACAGTGAAAGTCGATTCAGTGACCTAGAGCTTGGAGATGAGCCATAGAAAAAAAGTCAGGGTGGCCAGAGGTTGAGCAAAAGGGAAAGGATACAGCTGGCATGGTCACAATATAATTTGATTTAAATTTTTAAACATTTATTTATTATTATTAAGTTTGCTCTAGGGCACATGTGCTCACTAGAGAGAGACAGAGAGAAAGAGGAAGGGAAAGTGAGAAAGGAAACCACCAGGTCTGGGATTTGAACCATGGCCACGTGGGAGTCCGGTGTCTTAACCAACCATTACACCGCCTGCTGGTCCCTCAATTTACATTCTAAGAAGTACAATCTGGGGCCAGCAGATGCTGTAGCAGTTATATTGCTGGACTCCCCCATGGCTGAATGTGGTTGGAGTCTCAGAGCTGGTGGCTTAAAAGTTACACTGGAGCATGTGTGTGTGTGCCCAAGATCCTGGGAAAAGAATGGAGGAGAAGGGATTGTGGCCATCCCTTCACTTTCCCTCTCACTGTCTCTCTTTCCAGTGAACACAGCGCTCTGAGGCAAAACACTCTAGAGGAAAAAACAATGAAGTGCAATTTGGTTGTTCTGTCTTCCCAACGTGAAATCAAGTTGTTTGTCGCCATAAGTAACAAATATTTGACATTTCTCCTTGGGACTTGCCAAGGTCCATTGGGAAAATATCTCAGACTCTTGTGGGGTGGCAGCAACACCAACATTGGTCCCTGCAGACGAAATACAACTTTTTTTTCTCAGCAGAAACTGGAATCCTTTCTTAGGAGTTAATGACACAAAGTGGAGGGGAAACAAATGCAAAGGCCTTGAGGTAGGAGGGACCCCATCTTGTTTGAGGACTTGAGAGACACGGAGAATGTGGGGGAGCTGGATGAATGAGGATGAGAAAGCTGCAGGTTAGCTCCTAAATTCGAATAAAAGCCTGGTAGATGATCTAGGTCGTCAAGATTTAGATTTTAATCTGGATAAGAGGGAAATGGGCTGTGAGCAGAATATGGCCTTTTAGAAAGCTGTCTGTATGTGACGAATGGATCGGAAGGGAGAAGAGTAATGGGGTGGAACCACTGTCACCTTGGAGGGAGGTGATGGTCGCCCAGACCAGAGTGGTGTCAGTGGTATGGAGAGAGGTAGGAGGCCTCGAAATGCATTTAGGAGGCAAAATTATCAGATGACGGATAGTGTCAAGTTCCAGGCTTCGCGTGATCTCAGTGGTTACGAGAGGAGACTTCGTGTTCCTTACGGGGCCGGCTGGTTCCCGCGTGTCAGGGTAGTGGGCGTGGCCTGTGCGAGCCGTCGCTACGGTGACCGGGCGGGGCGGGGCCGAGGGCGGGGCCGCTGCGTCACTCGGTGGTGGCGATGGTGCGTGTGTGTGGGGGGCGGGGGATACGCTGGGCGCGTCCCGGGGGGCCCCTGGTGCGCAGCACGCAGAGTCCTTCTGTCGGTTGGTCCTGGAGCGGCGCAGCCGGAGCGGGGCCGTGAGGTGAGCTCGCGGCGAGGCGCGGCGAGGCGAAGCTGGCTGGCCGGGGCTGGGTCGGGCCGGGCCCGCGCCGCGC